CAGCCTCTGTGAGCGACGCCGCTTCGCGAGCGACGCCTCCTCTGTGAGCCAGGCCGCCTCTGTGAGCCAGGCCGCGGGGCGCTGACGACTGAGTCGGTCCCGTCAGAGCTGCGGGCGGCCGGCTTTCCCGCCACGCGGCGAGACGTGCGGGGATTCGGGTGGGCAGGGAGGGTGGCGTTGGAGCACCCGTTTATATCTGGCAGGAATACTGCCTCACACAGAGTACAGCCCAGAAAGGACCACCGTTAGAATTAGTTGAAGCGGCTGCATCCGAATCCAAATCCTTTGTTTTCAAGCTTCATTCTCATTCTTTCGCTCATTCTTTCATTATCTTTGAGTGTCCCCCCCCCCCCATTGAGGACACCCGTGAGTCGGTTCTGGGGGACGAGCGGGCGGTACAGGGGTGGAAAAGGCAGCCCTGGGGGGCGGGGCTCAAAGAGCAGCGGAGGAGCGCTAGTACAGGCCTGCCCAGGTGCGAGGCCAGAATGCCTGCGCTGGCCCTTGGGTTGCAGTTGGCTAACAGAACAGAACAGGGAAAGCGGAGCAAGTGCAACAAGAAAGCTTGTCTAGTGTACAGTGAGTGGAGTTGGGTGAACTGTGCTAGAGAAAATGAAATCAGATGTGAACGTGAACCAGATGTCCAGCCTAATTTACAATTCGTCTGTTAATAAGTGAAGTCCCATATTTGAAGAATTTTAAAGTATTGACATGATCAAAATTGAATATTTGAAAAATCATTCTGAAAGCAGGCTGAAAGATACGACGAAATTAAGCAGGCCATTTGAAGTCTTCCCTGGGAGACATTTAGGATCACTCCAGGAAGAAATAAGACGAAGAGCTAAGTAGGAAGAAGAAGGGATAAATCTGGGAGGTGTTCATGAGGGGAAATCAATATAGTTCAGTGACAAATTGGATAGCAGAGGCAAATGAGAAGGTAGGGTGATTGGGTTTCTGACTTGGGCAAACAAGTGAATCAGTGGTGATGGCACAAAATAGGAAACACCCGAGGCATAATAGATTTGGGGAAGGAAATGAGTTCAAATTGGGACTTATACACACAATGTTTGAGCTATGCATAAAGCTATCATATAAACAAAATATATAGCAATACACCTATATAGCATATATACACACCAGTCATACACATATTTCATAGATTAATTAGAATATAGGTACACACCAATCATACGCATATTACATAAATTAGACCATTACGAAAGGGATGTTAAGAAAAAGTTACACATTCCAGAAAAAAATCATTTAGAGAACTCAAAAGACAACTTCCAAAAGGAGATTAGAACCAGAAGGATATGTTAAAGCAAAGAACGGTTGACTAGAATGGGTGACCGAAGAAAAAATTTATCTGTAGAATAAACAAAAATCCTAAAGTGAAAGGAATGGTAGGCATTGATGGCCTGGGTGAGGGCAGGGGAGGAAATTTGGCATTTTCTTGAAACTAGTGTAAAACCAGTATGGCTGGGCCAAAGCAAAAGGTATATGTTGAAGATTAATTTGGAGAAATGGGAAAAACCAAAACCATACAGTGTTTTATAGACATTGCTAAGGAAGTTGCATTTTATTAGAAAAAAAATTGGGAGATATTGAAGGGTCCCAAGTGCAACACTAATGTGATAGGATTTAGCATTTAAAACTGTGGCTTTTCACAAGCACTTCCACGTGTGCTCAGGTTCTTGTTAGCTGTCTTGGTGTAGAAATGGCTCCCAGGAACACTCCTGGCATCCATTGAGACAACTCACCTGGCCTACAGGGAAGCATCAGGTGATGTAATCTTGATGAGAATGTGCTCTGTGAAATAAGGTGCCTGAAGGCAGTGGACAGTGGAGTCTATATATTCATCCAGCCCCAGCTGTAGAAAATCAACTCTAAGCTCAGGATTCAATTCTCATCAATCTAGTTAAAATAGATGATTTTCTTCTTTGGGAATATATTTAACAATGCATCATATTTTACATTATATAATAAAATTATTTTGTATTACTATGTGAAATTAATAGAAATCATTTTGACAAAAATATTACTGCAAAAAAATCAGGTAAAGCTAAAATCAGAAATTTATTGAGGGAAAAGAAATTTGTAAATAAAAATAATAGACTCAAATTTTTATAATTGATGAAGGAAAATGAACCACATAAATATATTGAAACTAGAAATATTGGCATCTATAAGGTAATGAAATAATACAAGAAGTTCTTTAAAACAAGAACTTGACAAGAGATTAATGAGTCTTAGCAATTTAGAAAGCACTCAGCCTAAGAAGACTTAAAGTGCTTGAAATGAAAGCTCACACAAGAAATTTATGACAGAATTTCCCAAATTTAGCAATACTAAAAATTGACATTATTATTGGCAAATAACATGTGAACAAACTGTGAAAATCAAATTTTCCAAACTTAATAACTTTGCTTGAGTGGAATACTAAATGATCCATTCTCATTAGAGACAAAGTGTTACAAAATTGTCAAATGATAAGGCAATCAAAAATTTTAAAGCTAAAAGTAAAGGAAAAAAACATAGTGATGTTTCAGGCAATTAATTTAAAATATTTTTCTGAATTTTTTTATGTTTGTGGTATTATTGTTTTTTTTTTAAATCTGTAATTTGTCTTCATTGCTTTTCTTGCCCTAAGTGGATATCTGCTTTTCCTCTTCACCATCTCCATATCACCCCCGCCCCCAAAAAAGACTTGGTGAATGGATGAAAGAAAAGGAAGAGTGAAAATAGGAATCTCAATTAGAAGAACAATTCACAGTTCACAGGTGTTCGTACTTGTAAGTAGCATTTTATTCACAAATTTTCATTTTACTTAAACTCAGTCTACAAAGTACATAGAACTAGTAGCATGAGCTCTCGTGCGTGCATACATACTCACACACAGTTACCCATTCACTCTTCTGGTATGTACTGTCTAGTGAGGGTCTATATATGCAAATGGACAGCTCCAACTGGATTATCCATCTGCTATAATAAAGTTACTTTGTCTTAAATCTAGGTGCAACTGAAAGTCTTCAGTTCAGGAAAAACTGAAGAGGTAGCACTCTGTAGTCTTTACCAAGTTGTCTCCTTACTAACCCTGACCAATAGAGTACTTCTCATTTAGTCCCCAAAGAATTGCAAAGCAATTTACAGAGAGTGTACACACACTTTTAATTATTACAGTAATTAGAATTATTCATAGTTTTGCTTTCCACAATTTCAGTTTACCCATGGTCAACAGTGATCTAAAGATACTAAAAGAGGCCATGCACAGTGCTGCATACTTGTAATCCCAGAGCTCAGGAGGCTGAGACAAGAGGATCACAAGTTCAAAACCAGCCTCAGCAAAAGTAAGGCGCTGAGCAACTCAGTGAGACTTTGTCTCTAAATAAAATACAAAATAGGGCTGAGGATGTGGTTCAGTAGCCGAGTGCCCCTGAATTCAATCCTGGTACATGCCACCCCCCAACAAAAAGATATTAAAAGAAAAATTCCAGAAATAATTTATAAGTTTCAAATTCATGTTGTTTTGAACAATAGGAATTTCTGCAATGCTCTGCTCTATTCCACCAGAGACATGAATCATCCCTTTGTCTAGTGTATCCATGCTATACAGCCTACATGCCCATTAATCAGTGTCTGTCTCACTTACCAGATGGTCTATTTCAGTATCACAGGGTTTGTTCTCAAATAACCTTTATTTTTCTTAATAATGACTCCAAAGCACAAGAGTAATGATTCTGAAAATTTTGTTACAGTATGTTCTTATAATATCTTACTGTGCCTAATTTATATATTAAACTTCATCATAGACATGTATATATAAGAAAAAAACAGTATACATAGGATCCAATGATTTTTGCAGTTTCAAGAGACCACTGGGGATCTGGACTATATACTCCATAAATAAAGATATAGGAATTATTGGATAGAAATGTATTAAATAATATAATAGTTGGTTTTATTCAGTTAAGCTCAGCTAAGCAAAAAAAAAATTAAAACCTGTGCTTATTATGTGATAGTAATTGAGGACACAAAGAGAAACTGAAGTAAGACTATTATAGCTGATGCACAATTAACAAGAAGAGAATGATAGTCTAATAATAGTGCCTACAAACTTAATAATTAAAACAAGAGGGAAGTATATGTAGTGAAAGTGTTTACAGGATATCAAAACACAGCAAAGAAATACAGAATTTTGTTGAATGGTGGGAGAAGAAAAGGGATCACAGGACAATTTGTATAAGACATAATGTCTGAGCCAGATGCTCAAGAATAAAAAATTTGCCCACTTTTAGGATAGGCTCTTTTGCAGGTGGAAAGACCCATCCAAAGGCATATAGGAATGAAACAGCAGTCAGTACAAGAATACACTATTAATTCTATCCTACAGAAAAACAAAAAATACAAGAGATTGCTTGATAGTAGCTCAATATTGAGCTTAATAAGGATGAAGCTGCTTTTACGTCTTTTATAAAGATATGGAAAGACACTAAAGGATTTTAGTTGGGTGAGATAATATCAAATGTCATGTATTAGTAGTCAGTTTTTGTCTCATTGACAAATAACAGAAAAACAGAGGAGGAAAGATTTATTTTGGCTCACAGTTTCAGGGGTTTAAGTCTCTGGCCAGTTGTCTGCATTGCTTTGGGCTTGAGGTGAGGCAGAATATCATAGCAGAAGAGCATGAAAGAAGGAAGCTATTTACCATGGCAGCTAGGAATATGAAAGAGCAAGGAAGGGGCTGAACACAAGATATACACTTCAGGTCATGCCCCAAGTGACCCACTTCCTCCAACTAGGCCCTATCTCCTACACTTTCTACCTACTCCCAATGATGCCATCAGATAATTATTCCCTCAGTGGATTAATCTACTGATGAGGTCAGAGCCCTCATGATACAATCTCAAGAGCACCACATCTGAACATTGCTACACTGAGGACCAATACTTCAACACATGAGTTTGGGGAGTACATTTCATATCCAAACCATGACATGTGGATTTGGAAAAGAATTACTAAGTAACAGAGTGGAAAATAGATTTGGAAGAGGGTAGGAAGCAGAGAAGGCAAGAAGAGAGGCAGGGAAATTAATTAGTTCAGACGTTTAACAGTAATCTATGCAATGCATATGAGAGCCACAAGGAAGGTAAGCAGTGTCCATGAAGAAAGAATAGTGCACATAGCTGAAAACATAAGAGAGAATTGGTGGAGTGCAGAGAGTATAAGGGTGAGAAGTGAAAATGATAATGCCAGCTATTAACTTGAGGCACCTAGATGAATATAGGTATCAATTAAAAGATATTGTGATTTTCCTGAGAAGTCATCAGTGAATGGATATAAGAGGAAGAAGTCTACTGTGGAAAGCAGCAAGACTTTCAGGTTTTAACAGCCAAAGAATTAAGTCTAGACTCCAGCATTAGGCCATTTCCATTTAAATCAGTGACACATGATAAGAATGAAAATCAGGTATTGAAGTCTACATTGATAATGAGGGTATGGTAGAGTGCTTACCTAGCATGCACGAGATGCTGGGTTTGATCCTCAGCACCACATAAATATAAAATAAAGATGTTGTGTCCACCTAAAACTAAAAAATAAATATTAAAAAAAAAGAGACCAGTGGATGAACGATGGTAGGGAAAGAAGAAGCTATGAAGGAAGAAGTAAGGCAGGCATGAAGGAAGAGACCAGGAAAAAATAGCATTATATAAGTGAAGGAATTCTCCATACATCTCCAAAACTTAGACAAAAGCTTAATAATTAATAAAAACTTAACACATTTCTCCATAATTATTGAACTGTTTAATAGCTTAAGCCAAAGTTATATTTGATATGAAAATATCAGACCTGGCAAGGGTTTTTTTAGAAAAACTTATTGGAACACTGGAAGATTTTTCTAGAGTTCTATATTCAGCTGAAAGTTCTTACACATATGAATAGGTCATTCAAGGTATTAAAAAAATTCACTGGAGTAATGTGTGTGATAATTTATTATTTAATACATTACCTCAAATAACGGTTACAAAACTAAAAGGACTAAGGAAGATCAAAAACTCTCACCTGCTAAATTACAAAATATTCCCTTTGTAGGTCTGATACCTACCTTTGCAGGGAAGCTCCCAAAATAATATGGGCTCTTTATTTTCCTGCTTTTTATGTAGCACTCCATCTTAAGTTAAATACATGCACATAAGGTAACTTATATGAATTAACACTATGTGTTAAAATTTGTGAGTATGTATAATGAACTAAAAAATTAAATGCCTTTGTCTTTTTACTAGTATTTTGTGCATTTTACAGTCATGTTAATAAATTTTGCCATCACAAGAAAGATAAAAAGAAGTTACATTATTTAATTTTCATTGTATGTCACTTTTTTCATATTTAAATCATAATATTCCTAATATCTATGATTGTGTTAATTATAAAGAAGAAAATTAATATAAAAAATTAGTAAAAGTGCTTTATTAATAAATTAACATTTAAAATTAATATACTTGTATGTAATATCAAATTTCTAAAAATACTTTTAGAGTATTATTTATTTTGAAAAGAATACTTAGGATAAACTTTTTCTATTAGTTTTCTTTTCACAGGTGAGCTACAGACAATGAACAGCAGGGGGCACAAAACCCAAAAGTAAGTTAGTATAAGTGAAGCATAATCTAATCTCTTATGGTAGAAAGCAGATAAATTTTGGAGGTAGACAATTTGTTTTCAGCTGGTTCCAAAACATATAGGCAGAGTGACTTTTATGTAATTATTTAACCTCTTTAGAATGATAACTATGATGGAAATTAAATGTTAAAACAAATGTAACATGGCTCAGTAAACACTAGGGTTTTTTCTTTATTCCTTAGTACATACATGTGTATGTGTATGCCAGAAACATACAATGAGTGAATGAAAATTGGGCAGTTTATACAGATTATGAACATGGACATGATTATAGACTTATATAACAGCATATGAGTGCAAGTGTAGCCATATCAAAACTAAATAAAACAAAACTAAACAAAATAAAAGACATTATTTACTCAAATACAAGCACAGTTTTTCCTATATGAGAAATATGAATGTCAGAGAAGTGAAAGTAAACATATGCATATTCCAACATAGAATGACAGTTTTTTTTCAGGATATGAACCAGGAAATATAATTATCTGGGAATGATTGTTTTGAAGACAGATTCTTGTCCTTCTTAAAATCTAGCTTTTCAGATCTATGGGAGTAATAATTGGATTCTCTTGTAAAACAGAAACAAGGATACTTGCTTCCTTGATTTCTGTGAATATTTAAACAGCACATTTTATGAGACTAGTAGCACTGTACCTGGCCCATGTCCTTACTAGGTTCCTTTTTCTTTTTTTTTTTTTTTCCTAAAATGACATGTATAGTCCCAAATGCCTTGCTCAAGAATACCTGATTATGGGGTCATTTTTTTATCTTCTTTTCTAAAAGATCTATAGCAATTTTCACTACTTTGGGGAGTAGGAAACAAATGTTCCTTTTTTTTTTTTTTAACCATTAGTGGCTATGATGTATTATTTCAAACAACATTTTCCCCAGCACTTTTTATGTCACTAGGCACTGGGAGACATGTTCTTTTTTTAAAAGCAACTTTGACTATAAAGCCTCATAAATTTGGATTTAATTAAAATTTTGTTCTTAGGAATAAGCTTAACTATGTATTTGTTAACTTTAAAGGTTTTGTCAGCTGAGTGAGGCGGAGCATGCCTCTAATCCCAGTGATTTGGGAGGCTGAGGCAGGAGGATCACAAGTTCAAGGCCAGCCTGGGCAATTTAAGGAGATCCTATCTCAAAATAAATAAAAAGTGCTAGGGTTGTATTTCAGTGGTAGAGTGACCCTGGTTCAATCCCCAGTACAGAAAAAAAAAAAAAAAAAAAAAAAAAAGCCCTCAAGGATTTTTCATCAGTGAAATTCATTAGTCTGGATTTTAGACAATTTATTTTAAAATTTCCAAAATCTAAATGAAAATACAGCAAATAATGATGGGATCATTACATATCATTCTTACCTATTTGTCAAGAGCAAAACAAACTTTCCAACTACAAATTTAGTACAAAACACTTTTTAAATTGATTTATCTCTGATTGTACAAAGATAATTACTCTAAACCTTTTATTATTATTTTCCTTAGTTTTTTCAACACACACATAATTTGTTTTTCCCAAAAGTGGATTGTATTGCACATATTGATTAGTAATTTGATTTTTTTGTTATATATTTTGTGAACCATTTCCAATTTCGTAGATGAAATTTTCATCATATTCTGAGTGTCTGCTTGTTATTACATAGTATGAGTGTACCAAATTGTTTTACCCATCCACATTATTGGTTTTTCATTTATTTTTTATTAATACATACTGTAAACTAAAATGTGATAAACATCATTATACAAACATAACTACTAGTCCAAAGAATATAAAGGGTTTGTGAGTATGTGCATGCACACATACGTATGTTTTCTCATATCCCCATAATTAAAAGGATATTGTTGCTCTGTCTCATTCTTTGTTAATGTGGTAGATAAAAAATACTTTATATTTTAGCTTATGTTCTTTGATCTTAAACTGGAAAAAAAGTTCATGTTTAATTATATTTCTTCCTTTATAAATTGCTTTTCATGCCTTTATTCCCTTCCCTTTTCACAGATAAGCACTATTTTGAAAATATCTTCACCAGTTTATTTTTTGTCATTTTTTTTGCTTATGATACTTTTTTTATATAGTAGTTTTTGAGCTGTTCATTTGGTTTCAGTCACCCACTTTATCAATCTTTCCTATATGATTTCTGCTTTTAGGTTTTACTTAGAAAGCTTTAATCTGAAATTATAATATTTACCTTACATTCTGGCACATAACAGTGTGTGTGTGTGTGTGTGTGTGTGTATTATAGTATATATATTTTAAATATATATATTTAAAATAAAAATTCAGTCATTTATTCATCCATGCATATTCATTCCTTCATGTATTTGAGCAAATATATAATAGGAACTGTTCTAAATGGCAAAAAAGAAGTGAATAACCTTGCCAGGGTTTCTGCCCTCATAGAGTTATATCCCAGAAAACTAGATTGTATAGCATATAACTTAATGTAAAATTTGAAATCCAAGGGGAAAGAATGTATTGACTTTTCAATTTATGATGTTGTTACAACTAGTTAATAAGAAAAGAAAATAGTATTTCATATTGAACATCAAGTACATTACAAATGAATTTAAAATGTTTTTTAACAAAATCATGAAAACAGTAGAAAATCAGAAAAATTGTATATCTTCTTAAACTTGAAAACTTTACAGTGAGATCTCAAGGCAATTTTGGAAATGATATCTTATTTTTTAAATGGAATAGAACAAAGTAATTTTTGAACAATAATTTTTATTAGTGTAGTTTCAAAGGTACATATAATCCTGAGCTATTGCATTTATACATTTATCATTTACTCTTTGAAGTTTACATGTATTTTGCTCCAAACTCTCTGGTGAGTACATTTTTATACTAATTAGGAACATAAATAATTTAAAATATTAGTCTTATCCCTGGAATCACCAATTAATTTACTCAGATCATCTCATTAGCTAATTCTATCACATGAAAGACTTTGAATATTCTCAATTAAGCAATTTCTTTTTCAAAACTGCAAAGATGGGCAGTGCAAGAGCTGATTCCATAAGTCCTAGTGAATTTTTAGAAAACTATGTTGCTCTTTATCTCTGATCTATTTTCTTATATTAATTGGGTAATTATCCAGTTATATTTGAGAAGAATGGTAAGAGTACCTCTAATCTTAACATTTTAGCTAGTGCAAAATGTCATAGGCTTCTTTCATATATAAGTTGTACATAATTATCCCAACAAGAAAAATTCACCATGATCTAATGGAAAGGAGCACAACCCAATGTAAATATTTTTGATTAAATGATTAAGTATTATAAAATGTCATGTGAAATACTTCCTCTAGTCTCTATAAAGGAATACATACAGTGTGTTAACATTAAATTCCATAAATGCAGACCAGATTTTTATAATTGGTAAATAAAAATGAAAAAAAGGGCAAAAATCCCGTGATCTTTGAGAAAAGACATTTATCCAACATTTCCAACTGTGAACAAATAAATATTTTCATTCTTGTATTTTAAATTACTACCAAAATATTATATCTTTCTACAAACAACAAAAAACAAACATACGGTTATCTAGAAATGTTTCTCTGACAACAATGTCAAGTTTTTGAAAGTACACTCAAATGTTTTTCCTGAATAAGGTCACTATAATCTTAGGTTAAAATTACTGTAAGCAGTTCAAGCAAAAATGCATATTGCTTTGATTTTAAAGCAAGCGATTTTGATACTGTTTAATGAAAATGTAAGTATAAATGTGAAACAATTGTAAAAACATTTATAAACACTTCTTGGAAATACAGATCAGCAATTAATGGAATAACAGATTTGAACATAAGATAGAGTGATATTATGTTATATTTGGTGACATCCAAAAATATCTTTAATTGATTTAAAAGAACATAAAACACAGCTTTGTTATTCTGAATTGGAAAACCTAGCAGCAAAACAAACTATTTGCATAAAATGCAGTGCAATGAGCATTTATTTACTCATAAAAGACTCCCAAAGTCTTGAAACTATTACACATAAACTAGAACGGAATCTGTTAAGATATAACGATTTAAAGATGTCCAGAATAGCTTATCAAGAACTGCTAGACCCTCTCACCCGCATCATTGAATCCTAAGCAAGCTTATGCAAAACTGTGTTCTGGATAACTGACTCGTATGGCTCCCCAATAACAAGCTCGGATAAGGCAAATCAGACCTAGAAGATAAGCAATTGCCCAAGAAACATAGGTTGCATGAAATCGTCTTGCAAAGTCTTGGGTACCAACCTAAAACAAAAAGCAATATAAAAACAAAAGATTAGAAACTTTTAAGAAAATATCTGCTTACCCTGCGTCAGCTTATGTGTGATTCATATGAAATACATCCCCAAACTGAAGCCATAAATTCTCTATAAAACTCGAGGTATATCTGTTGACTATAACTGACAAACCATACTGCAACTTATATTAACTGTAAATTTTATGAAGTAAACACACCAAAATATGTTATCTCTATAAGGTTTTCAATCTATGTGACTCTTTACTATCATGTGACACAGTAGGACATTGCCAATAATATGGGCAATATGAGGAACATAGGAGCACGGAAAGCAAATGACAGCAAAACAGATCAGTTCCTTCCTCTTCTCCTGGCATAATCCCCATGCCAACTGTTTCATTTTAGTGTCCTCTAAAAAGAAGCCATCCTCATATTGGAAATAAATCTCTGCTTGATATGGATTAAGAGAAAAATGATTTTTCAGACCTCCATAGCAGAATGATTGTTGCTTTGAATATAAGATACTCCATGGCCATGCAAAGTTGGTTCTGCCACTGAATAAAAACAAATGGGCTTTTGTTAATGGATGATAAATCTCCCAATGTTAAGGACTTTCATAGGGGGCCAAAGATATCTTTTTACCTGGATGGCAGAACTTCATTAAAAACTGGTCCATGGAAAAAACAAAACAAAACACCAAGTCCATGGATGGGGTTTCTGATTGCCCATAGTTCCTCAGAAGTTTCTGGGCCTGGCATGCCAGGGAGGCAGCATTCTCAGAGGTCACTGAAGGTTGTCCCAAGCCTCACCATTGGTTAATGTTGATAAACTTAAGAGAAAGAATTCTAACAACAAAACAGTACTCACAGTTAATCCAACTCCAATGAAAATACATATCATTCCAATGGTAATATATGCACAGCAGCGTCTTCGTGGAAGTGCACTACCCACAGAGGAGCTGCACATTCATGACAACAAAAGAGAACATTAAGTATTTACATAAAGATTCTTCTTTCAGCTTTGTGAGTTCTTATCTATGGCTTTAGTAACATAAGATTTTATTCATTTCTTCAACTTAATAGATAACATGTATGAAAATGTCATTTTCAATGAGTGACAAAAATCATAAAAATGCATTTGTAAAATTATTGTGCCTTTAAATAAATTCAAGCATTGGTCATTGACAATATCCAACACTGTGATCCCTGATGACATTCCAAGATAGTGTTTGCAAACAATCTCTTCAGGAACGGAAAAGCAGTACCATCTTATACATAGTGTTTGATTTTTTAAAAATATAGTTTAACACTTTATGTTTAGTGTAGAAAAAAAGACAAAAGAATTAAAAAGGAAAGGAAAATTATCTATAAACTCACCACCACAATATAGTCAATCAACAATCTGGGATATTTTCCTCCTGCCATTTTTTTACTTATCAATATATAGCAAAAGCATTTTTCTGTGTCATTAGGTATTCTCAAACTCTAATTCTAATAACTGAACAATTAACCTATTCCCTACAAGTACATACTTAAAGCATTTTCATTATTATAAATCATGCCAGCTAAGCTTCATTTAAAATAATTGTGTCTATTTTTCATCATTTTCCTATTTTTTTTTTTAGAATTAGGGTGACAAAGATGAAAGAACTAAACTTTTAAAATATTCTGCCAAAAAGCCAGTAGGAAATTCATAAAAGTATACACTGCAATTGTACTCCTCAATTGAAATTCCAATGCAATAGTATTTAGCTCTCTCTTCTAATATTTGTATACAAATGATACAAGTATAGCAGAGATCAAATAACCAAATTAGCACTTTTTCCTCTAATTATACATATATCTAATAACACGATTTGCCAGGCATTGTTAGTGAAAGACATAATGAAGTACGGTCTTTGTATAGCTAGTGTCAAAATCATGCCCAATATACTGTAATCTCTCAAGGAATGTCAATTGAATAAGAGAAATACAGAAATGTATCATTCACTAGACATAATTTAGAAATATGCTATTCCAAAGAGGTTAATCTTGTCTAACAAAGCCATTTCCTTTAATATCTAAATCTTTTAAAATCAGTGAAATCTGCTGCAAATATAGATCATGTATTTTCCTGAATATTTGAACCCAAACATAAACATCTGGATGACCTATCAGTCATCATTCATTACCATGTTGCAGATTGCTATCTAGAGTTAAGAGGGCATGCAGAATTCACTGCCTTTATGCTATATTTAGCCTCGGATTGCTTTTGGTTTCAATTCCTATTCATCCATTTAGTGGTTTTTCCTGCCTTACGCCTTACAGCTGGTGGTTGTTTCTCATTACCATCTATACACCTGACTCTGGCAGTCTAATCTACCATGCATCAGAAACCACCTAAGCTTCTTAGAATTATGTCTGGAAAAATCAAAGATTCTAAATGAATATTAGAGCATCTTTTCTGTGGACTAATAAACTGAGTAGACCAATTTCATTGTGTGAATTCTGCTTAGAAAACCTGTGCCCTTTTTTTCTTCACTCCATCACTACTTCTGAAGTCTTCATTATGGTTTAGATGTGAAGTGTCCCCTCAAAGATCCTGCTAATGCAGGAATATTTGAAGGTTAAATGATCAGATTATGAGCTTTGTAACCAGGAAGTGGGTCACTAAGGTGTGATGTGAAAGGGATCGATCTCTCTCCCTCTCACACACACACACACACCCCTTCCTGACCATGAGCTGAGCAACTTTTCTCCAGTGGGCCCTTCCCCAAGCTGCCTCAGCTTGAATCCAGAGCAATGAAGTTGGCCATGTATGAACTAAGATCTCTGAAACCATGAGCCCCCAAAACATTTTCTCTCCTCTAAGTTGTTCTTGTTGGGTGTGAAACATTAACTAAAACAGTCTACCATAAAATAATCTATTCCCATTCCACAACCAAAGTGCTGTCTCACCCCAGAGATGGGGCTATGACCAACAAACACTATGACCTGAATAACAGATCTCTTACACATTTAATATACATGTAGTACCTGTATGCAATACACAGAATTGTGTGGGTAAAATTTTGTATGTGTGTTGAACTGTATGCATCTGTGATTTGTCCTTTTTATAAGTAAGTGTCTCTATATAAGACTTCCGTATTGGCATATGAAAGTGTAGTTCATTCATTTCCACAACTATCTTCATTTTATGAATATCATGTAGTTTAATCATTCTCCCTATTAATATATATTCAGGATTTTTTCTTAATATTTTGTTAATGTAACAATGTTGCTTTAGAAATAGTTTTTAAAATATTTTTGAGACAAGGTCTTTAAGTTGCTGAGGCTGGCCTTAAAGTTGTTATCCTCTTGTCTCAGCCTCTCAAGTCACTGGGATTACAGGTATCTGCCATCACACCCGGCGACCATGCTAATTTGAATACTCTTTGATGTTTCTTCATTTTATATCTGCAGGCACTTCTCAAACATATACCTAGGAATAGAATTTCTGGGTTGTATCATAGCATATCTTTATTGAGTACCAAATCCCCAGAAAAAGTATGTGATACCATTGCACCACACAAATTCCCATGGACACTTCAACACTCATTTTTTTTTTAATTTCATGGATAAAAATGACATTTTATTGTGACTTTAGTAGCCCTGGTTTTTTAGCAAGGTTAACCATGTTTTCAAATGCTAGCTGACTATTCCTTTTTTTTCACTGTTACTTGCTTATTTATATCTATGGCTCCTTGATTTGTGTTGCCTTTTGCTTACTGATTCATAGAGGACATTTGTATAATCTGGATAGTATCCAAGGCAGCCTGTGTACACTGGATATATCTTTTCATATACTGTTTTTTAAAATTCACTTTAATTACATATTTTGATGAAGGTTTTATTTTAAAAAATCAACATAATGTAAGGTAATTAAAATATATTCAAAATTACTAATCTTTTCCTTTAAGGTTTTTGACTTTTTATGCCTTATCAAGCAAATTCTTTCCTACATCTGACATCAAGAAAAGTTTCTATCTTTTAAAAGTATTAAAATTTTGCTTTATGTATTTGTCTTCATCCACAATAACAAGTCCTTATAACTCCTAGTGTTGATTTTACACACTTTGAAGGCATAGTATTTGGTGTGCTCAAGTTCAGATTTTATCTTTCACAATATTCCATCCTTTTATTTTCATCTTATATTCTCATATTTTTATGTGTTTCTTCTTCAAATTTCATATAGGTCTTTTAAATCTAGTCTGTTAATTTCTAGTAAATTTTACTGGCAAGATTAGTCTAATGTACGGAGTATTTCTGTCATCTTATTTTGCTTTTGATTCTTTCTGTATTTCCTGTGCTCTTCCAATTTTTTGTTTTTCAGACATTTTTTGGATTAACTATTATTCTTCTATTTCACTTTCCACTTAATACTTTGAAAGTAAGTTTTACAATTTTATTCATTTAAGTTGCACTTAAAATTTTAACAGTCACATCTTTTAAAAACTAAAACCATCTAGTAGGTACCTTTATAGTAAATATAAGGATCTTAGAAAGCATGACTTGAAATAGTCCAGTCCCAACTTGCATATTATTATTATCCAATATTTAAGTTCTATTGTGTACTTTTCTCCAAATTTGTTAGTATTGATATTTTATGTTGTTTTTACTATTTTATACAATAATGTTCCCAGTAAATATTTATAATTTTATGGTTTTGCTCCTCTTCTGCCTTGCAGAAATTTCTTCTGGAATATTTTTCCACTTTCTCTTGTTCAACTTTTAGAAGATTTTTTTTTTAAGTGATGTACCAAGATGCTATATTTTCTGAGTGTCTTTTTTGGTTGGTTGATTTTGCATTTAAAAAGATCTTTATTTTCGCTGGGCACAGTGGTTGGGAAGGCTGTAATTCCAGTGGTTGGGAAGGCTGAGAGGAGAATTGTGAATTCAAAGCCAGCCTCAGCACTGGCAAGGAACTTAGTGACTCAGTGAGACCCTGTCTCTAAATAATATGCAAAATAGGACTGGGGATGTGGCTCAGTGATCGAGTGTCCCTAGTACCCCCTGCCAAAAAAAAAAAAAAAATCTTTATTTTACCTTCATTATTCTCTGTGGCTTAGATAGGTCTATAATCCAGTTCAACATATACTTTCTCAGTATTTTTAACTTGTTCTTTGGCTTCCATTTTTGTTGCTGAGGTGTTTGCTTATATAAGTTTCCATCTCTTCTTTTGTGGTGAATTTTTTTTTCCTGCCCTACTCTTTTCTTGAAAAATACCAGGAGGGGGCAAAGTTCCAATCCCTCCACCTTCTGTGAGCACAAGGCCACCTCTCTCATTTTTACTGGAACACCAAAACCTTCCACGTAATCCTAGTTATCATTTCATCTTCACTCTGGGGCCCTGGAATCTTAGCTCTCATATCAGCTAAACTATGCATCTTGATGTTTGTCATAGTTTTTTTTTCATATTATTGGATGTGAAAGGCAAAAGCATATACAAAATGTAGACAGTGAATTTCCAAGAGGAAAGGTCATTCAAGACTCTCAAACATCCAATGATTCGCTCTTCCAAATTACTTATCTTCCCATTCATGAAAACAGCCTACTGAACTCTAGGATTACCAGGGAGCCCTGGAAAATGCTAGTGTGGCTAGGGCAGTAAAATTTATAAGGAAATAGGTACCATATTCTCTTTGTATTCAGATGTGAAAACCAAGGAGGCTCCATTAGGTGGGTGCTATGGTTTGCACACAGTTTATCCCTCAGAAACTAATGTTACATTTTAATCTCCCTGTTGTGGTAGAAAGAAAGAAGGTATAAAGTTAATTTGAATGGTGTGCAGAGTCAGGGCCTTTGGGAGGCAATCAGGTCTAGACAGCGTCATCATAGTAGAACCCTACAATAGAATGATAGCTTTATGAAGAGTGGGAGAAGGATGGGGTGCACCTTGGTGGTAGAGTGCTTTCCTAGCATGTGCAGGGTCCTGCATTCA